ATATACGCATGCTGACACAGACACGTAGTAGTGGAGATAAATTTAGGTTATATACTCATGCTGACACAGATACGTAGTAGTGGAGATAAGATTGGGTTATATACACATGCTGACACAGACACGTAGTAGTGGAGATAAGGTTAGGATATATACGCGTGTCGGGGTCGGATGAGACGAGTAAGCCGTGGGCAGACGGTCATGTGCTCTCGAGTCGGACTACCCGAGGTATTGAAATAACGATTGCATGTAGCGGTTGAGATGACTTCGATATATAAACAATTGCATGTAGTGGGTTGGGATGACTGCTATATATAACAATTGCATGCAGTGTTTGAGATGACTTTTATATATAAACAATTGTATGTAGAGTTTGAGATTATTTCTATATATACCCCGTTCATATTTTCTCAGTCAGCTGTGCGACAGACGGGCAGGTGGGATGAGTGTATATGCTAAAGAGTGTACTATGTTCCATTGATACAGGCATAAAGCGAAATTTCTGTACATCTGCCGATATCACAAATCTATTGCCGATATCACAAATCTATTTCATTTCATACCACACATAAATATGTCTCATATCATACTTCAATACGTTTCATATCACACACATATACGTTTCATATTATTCTTATACACGTTTCATATCCCACATAACCGTTTTCCGTATGTTTCAGATGCGTGACATGAGTGTCAAGTCAGTGTTGCTACGTGCGAATTCTGTAGTCCAGTAAGGGACCAGTGCGATGTATATACTGTGCTCATGCTCACGTACATGCTGCTGGCTGTGACACTGGGCCAAACTTCAATCATGGCTGACAATAACAAAACGTAACAACGAGAAGACAGGACTAACTAAGCGCGACAGGAGAACATGTCTGTGTCGACTATCTCTGGCACACCCGGGCCATCAAAGATCGCAGTGAACAGGCAGCCGCTCATATCCACGTGTAGTATCCAACACCACAGACACCAAGCTCAACCGAAGGGTGGGCAGAAGATATGTACATATACACGCATGTTTTATACATAGACACACACAGATCATTGCACCACAATGCGTCGTCTCGGTTAACCACAGTGGTACGTACCTGCCGTTGCGCCGCTCCACTAAAGACCGTGGATGTCTCCTCCAGCGTGTTTAGAACTTTTTGGCCCCCGTATTTTTCAAACCGGACCTCGAATTCAGGGCAGGCGTCTATACTGTCCTCATCTTCCACATAGTCCTCTGAGTCGTTGTCCCATTCGTTGGAGTGTGGGTAGTCGAATGGCAAACCTTGTTCGCCCAGAAGGGACCGCGCGTTGGCACTCAGCCCTTTTCCGATGTTTTCTAAGGCGCCAAACCCTTTGCCCATCACTGAGTGTGTATGGAGTATTGTTACAGAATAGTGTGGATTAATTAGTGTGAATTAATTAGTGTGCGCGTTGGCACTCAGCCCTTTCCCGATGTTTTCTAAGGCGCCAAACCCTTTGCCCATCACTGAGTGTGTATGGATTGATTAGTGTGAATTAATTAAGTATGAATTGATTAGTGTGAACTAACAAGTGTGAGTTAATTAGTGTGTGTTTTGGCACTCCGACCTTTCCTTCCGTCCGCCAAGGCACCAACCCCTTCACCCATCACTGCGAGCGTATGCCGAAACGTCGTAATGTGACAAGTGCGTGTGACTCTACAGAATAAGTAGTGATCTAGTATCGTGTGAGCGTTGCCATTCGGGCCTTTCCCGGAAGGTTCCCGAAGTTTCATTCCCTTTGCCCACCACTGGAAAAGTACGACGGATCAGTGAATACAGATGTGTGGCAAATCTTCGGCAAATGATATCTGCATGGAAATACAACGACCGCCGACGTTCACACTTTGCCGAACCCTTCTGACCAACGCAACTAGTGTATACCTTTGCGACGCCATAGTGTGGACCAATCGATACAATCACGTGCTTTACAGGTGCTAGAGTACATAGTGCTTCGCCCTGCCATTCAGTGTATATGGCATAGACTGCCCACTGTGCGGTGATACTCGGGCCTTGACCCTACATGTTTATATATATATATATATACATATATACATATATGCCTATACATATACATTTACATACACCTATACACAATTATACCTATATATACCTATATAGGTATATAGGTATAAATGTGTATATGTATAGGTATAGGTATATGTATATATATATGCAAATATATATATATATATATATATATATATATATATATATATATATATAGTACTACTATACTACTACTACTA